CTATGTAAGCCACAAGCTTTTTGATGATTATTAATGAATAAACGATTTAGGGTCAAGTTCTTCCCTTAGCAACATGCACACAACTCCCACTTACCTCAGTGGGAATTGAGCACACATATCCAAGGTCATAATTAGGTTGTTGGTGCTTCAGGAAATGTATGTGTATGATCAATAAGGGAGAATAGATGTAATCTGTGTAAAAGTACATTTTAGTATCTTACCTTGAACATTTCAGCTAGGGGCTATCTATTATGCACCAACCCTTCTTTCAAGTACTTTCATGTGTTAATAAGAGTAATTTATGAATTTAGGAGTGTTTGTTGACCTGAAGCTTCCTTGCACTCTCTATGGTAACCTATGTTTTGGCACAATGCTTTATTTTCCTTTGGCTAATAAATTTTCTCTATTACATCTTGTTCCCATTCACATGTTACTAGGAATTAAAAAAAAAGAAAAGAACAGAACATGTTAGAAAAGACAATGCTGTATACAGAAAGAAACTGCTACAAACTTTTGGATTGGCTGAGCCCAGTTACAGTATCTTAAAAATATCTGGCACCATGAATTTTTAAGCAAAATTGTGCCTCACTAAATTGAGCTCAACAAGTTCTCATTTCTATTATGATGCTTTTGATAATCTTAGTGCAAAAAGGAAGTGACTTTCAATATATATTTGCCATACAATGTAGAAACATGTTAAAGATAATTAAAATGCAGTTGCACAGATATTTCTTTTCTATCTGGATAATGATGTCACCATAGTATATTACCTCCTCACAGTCACAAATGGATTGTCTTGTCAGAACACCCCTATAATACAGGGAAGTATTAGCTTAATTTTACAGGTGGGGAACTGAGGAACAGGTTAGATTAAGTGATTTGCCCAAGGTCACACACAATACCTGAGGCAGGGACTGAACACACATCTCCCATATCCCAGTGTCCTACCCCACTAGACCATCCTTCCTCCCTCCCCATTGTTATGTGTATCATATATAGCAGTACCTACTTCTATGTTCCTTGTACCCCCAAAGCTCCTGTTGAAATCAATGGAAATTTTGGGTTGCAAGGAATGCAGGATTGGGCCCACAAGTTCTAAGTATTTGTCTTCTTATATATCTTTTGACTTGTCATTTTTTCTTTAAAAAAAAAAAAGGCCTGATATTGCTCCACCCAAGATCCAGGATAGGACTCTTATTTCAATGGGAGCAGGTCTGAAATCAGTAGCTGACTGTGTTGTAAACACAGCTGTAACCATGTTAGCCAGCGTCCCTGTGTTCTCTTGAGACTGTAGGCAGAGTGGGAGAACAGCACCAAAGGCACAACATTTTCCCTTTCAGCTTTTTAGGGCGTTCACTTACAAGACCCTTTGATCCAGTTTTGATTTTAATTCTGTTCATTCATCCACTCTTACTCCCCACCCCTTCACAAAATAGGATTTAACTTTCTTCCGTCAATTCGGATGCTTTGATATGTATACAGACACAAGCGATATAATCACGTGTACATCTGTAGATATAGACATTCACACACACTTCTAAATCAAAATATCTGTCTAGGTTTTATACCATGCATCTCACCATGATCCCTGGGTATCTAAGTTAAATACTATTGTCAATATGGAGTTTGAATAGTCCTGCTTGAAATGAAAATCTTTGCTTTTTTCTGAAGACAATGTTCAAATATTTCTGGAGTTTGTCCCCTTTCCTCCAGTGATTAATTTGTGCCAGGGCTGAGCCCTGGCACCTCGAGGCTTGGCAGTTCATAGCCCCGGCACCTCTGGGCTTGCTGCATCAATTATGAATATAAAAAAAAAATTACTTGAGCCCAGGCACCTCTTTCATTACAAATTAAGCCCTGCGTTCCTCCCTCAGATCTGAACTGACTCTACTCTTGGAACACATGAAGGGTAGGATTTTCAAAAGCACTCAGTGCTAGCTTAACTCTGCTCCTGTTGAAGTCAGTGGGACCATGACCTTCAAGAGGTAGAGTTAGGCTAATGCTTCTGGTGTCCCACTGAAGATGTATGGGGTATAAACACTCAGGCTTCAAGGCATAAGCCCAACATCTGATTAATGGAAGCTAGAAAGAAATTTTTCTTGTGGGCAAGTTATTCCATAATGCCCTTCTGCAGGGTTTCTTGCACCTTCCTTTGAAGCAGTTGGTGCTGGCCAATGTTGGAGACAGAATACTGGACTAGAAGGACCACTGGTCTGACCTATGGCAATTCCTGCGTTCCCTTGTTAAAGGCATAGGAAGCTAAACTGCACTGGTAAGCATGACTTTGAGCATTCCCATCAACTCAGCTGGGCCAAATCCTCAGAGGCCCTGACCCCTTGCCACTCCTGCTCAAGTAGTGCCTTTGGAGTTGGCCCTCAGAGGGGCTCATTCCAAGAAGCAGAAGTGGCAGTGCAGAATCGATAAAGGGGCTCAGCAACTCAAAGAATCAGGGCAATAACATCTCAAACTTTGGAACAAGAACAGCTTTAGATCTCATTTTCATCCTTCGGGGCTGGGGAAACTAAACAATAACAGAACATTCAGCATGGCCTAGAGCAGTGTTTCCCAAACTTGGGATGCCGCTTGTGTAGGGAAAGCCCCTGGCAGGCCAGGCCAGTTTGTTTAACTGCCGCATCCACAGGTCCGGCCGATCGCGGCTCCCACTGGCCACGGTTCACTGCTCCAGGCCAATGGGGGCTGCTGGAAATGGCGCGGGCCAAGGGATGTGCTGGCCGCCACTTCCTGCAGCTCCCATTGGCCAGGAGCAGCAAACCGCGGCCAGTGGGAGCCACGATCGGCCGGACCTGCGGATGCGGCAGGTAAACAAACCGGCCTGGCCTGCCAGGGGCTTTCCCTACACAAGCGGCATCCCAAGTTTGGGAAACACTGGCCTAGAGGATTCTTAGCTTGTATTTATGTATGAGAGAGTATGCTTTTTGCATCTGTTTTTAATTCTTAAAGTGTTATGTATTTTATCTGGGCCCCATTTGAATCAAGCCTCTGAAAATCAGTCAATCGGCTTTACAAGTTTAGGGAGAATTTAGAATAGTTCTATAATAGTGTCAGTTCTAAGCTGCTTCTTGTAATGAGTTACTTATCAACTCTATTCAATGGGATGCAAGGTCACCAAAACCTAGAAAAGATTCTAATTAATTCAGTACCCAACACCACTGGCAGTTTGACCCAGTACTGAACGACTGAATGGTGATGAAATCCTGGCTCCGTTGGAAGTTTTGCCATTGACTTCGGTGGGGGCAGCATTTCACCTCAGGTAATTTCTTCCCTGATGTAAACTAAAAGGTTCTCATGTCTGCACTATGAGGCAAAGAAAGAAATTGTAGGATTCAAAGGTCTTAGGGCTGATCTGCACACAAAGTCAAACAGAGATAACAACAGGTGTAAATTAAAACTAATTTAATTATTGTGCTGCAAGTCAGTGTGCAGGTACTCTTATTTTCTAATAAAAATAGCAAAAATTAATTGAGCCCAAATCATTTTGTTATTGACTTTAGCTAAATTGACTGTAGCCTTTTTTGTTCTGCCATTAGTGTAGCCACACACAGAGGTGCACTGACCACAACAAAATCAGTTTTAGGAAATCAATTTCATTACATTGGTGCAAGTTTGCATGTAGACCAGGGGTTCCCAGACTTTTTGCTGGCATGACACTATTTTAACGAATTATTTTCTCCCAGACTCCCAGACAGCATGGAGGATCTCATTTTGAAGAGCAAAATGGCATCCTCCACACAACATGACCTTGCATGCACTGCCGATTTGTAGTACCACCAGAAGATCTGAACCATTTGCATAAAAATAATCATAAGCTTTTATCTGCTTTATTGGTATTGATTTTTTACTGAGTTTTTGTATAAGCACTGAATATAATTTTCAGCTAATACTCTTTTTAATAGTACATATAAAACTAAATAGAAATATTGGCTTGCAGACAAATGGTTTTGTAGAATAATTATTGATCCCCTCTTAATGTTGTAAGTATTTCTCACTAGTGGATGAAATATACCTCTGTGCAGAGGGCCACCACAAATTCTATGCATCAGTTAAATCCCACTGAACCCCTCAATACAGGACTTCAGTGGGACTTGACTGGTGCACAGATCTTGTGCTAGTCCTCAGAGTGAAATTCTCTCCAAACATCTTGAATGTCACCCACTGAATATCTTTCATTTATTCAATGGTTTGTACTAGCCTTAAGCACTCACATAGCTACAGTTTAAGGTTATCTAACTTAAAGGCAGCTGCAATAATATACTTTAAATGGTCTATTTCCTGCCATGCCTCAGCTGAGTTGATGAGTTTGTTATTGACCGGTTATTATTTATTATTTACAGTAGCACCCACTGCTTGCCTTCTTTCTATACATTTGAAAAGGGTATAGTCCCTGCCTGAAGGAATTTCACAGTCTAAGGACAAATACTATTATTTATTTGTATTAAAGTAGCATCTATAGACCCCTATTATGGACCCGGACTCAGTTTTGCTAGGAGCTATACAAACACTGAACAAAGAGATGGACCATGCCCAAGACATTACAATTCAAGTATAAGACAAGAGCCAACAGTGAGTACAGACAGACAGGGAGCACAGGGCAAGGATAAGACAAGCATTATAAGCAGCTGTCACAGCACATTGGCTGCCTAACCATTGTCAGAAGCAGACAGAGGTTAGGGGGAAAGGGAAAGCAAACAGGGATATTTACTACAAGTTAATTAGATTCACAACAGACCTCAGGAGTAGAACTTTTAAAACTATTGCTGGACCATTTTCTAGACTGCAAATGTTATATCTCAGCTACACTTCTGATGTAATTTTTGTTCTTCAGCCTGGACACTTTGTGTTTTTTAAAAATACTAGTTCTCATTAACAGCTGATCAGATGCTATTCCAAAGAACAGTGGATCTTGCATATCAACTTTTCTATCTGTTTTCTACATTTCCACATTTCTTTTAAGAAGGCTGTATAAACACACTAAAACTTACCAAATTGAGGGGCATGGCCCACTTCTGTAGAGCAGATGTCCTTCTCATGTGCTGATCTGCCATATGTGGCAGAATAGATGTTAAGAAACTTTGACTCTTTACAGTGGAGTTTCAGTTCTTCGTTTTCACACGCTGATTTGGTTTTATGTTCAGCTAAAATAGAAACCAATAACAATGCTATATTACGAGGTGGACTGTTAATGGTTAATTAATGAAATGTGGCATACCTACAAGGAGGAACTCAACCAAACAGCAGAGGGGAAAGTTAACTCCTTCAAGATTGTTCCCTCATTTTAAATTAATTAAAAAAATAATTTTCCCATTCTTCTCTCCCACTGGCTCATCCTCTATGGCCTGTTTTATAAAAATACTCATTACAATAAATCTAATCTCTCTTTGCTTCTCCAAAGGACATGGCCACATTCTCCACTGCTTCGTTGCTGAGTGGCTCAGCCCACACATTAATAATATAGATGGTCTGCATCACTTGGTGCCACAGCATACAGCTGAAGTGAGCGCCAAAGAATTCTAGGCACTGTGGTATAAGAATGGTTCGATTTCAAATGTTGGTCTCAGCCACAGCCATTTAATTCCAGTGAAGGCAATGGGTTTGCACAGGTCTGACTGAGAGCGGAGGTTAGCCCATTCTGTTAAACATCTTTCAAAATGGGTCATGAAAACAGGAAAAGGGGGTTACACAGCTGAAAAGGGGCAAAGGGAAACCTTATTGTTATCAGGGATGTTGATGTGAAGTACTAAGATCAGACTGGAGAGACGAAAACGTCATATCTATTCATAAAACAAACTTAATCGTTTCATCTGAAATACAAGAGACATAGCTTTGATTTCCTTGGGAATAATCCAGTTCCCCGCACTAAAGCAGACAGAAAGTAGTCACTTTTAAACATTCTTTGTATTGACTCGCTGATTATTAGTTGTTTAGAAGTGTAAATGGTGCTGCACAACAGGAAAGTTGTGTGAAGCAAACAAAAAATGTTCTGATCTGGGGGGCTAACAGCTTAAAACTATGTTCTGGGTTTGTACAGCACCTAGCACAATGGGATCCTGGTCCATGACTGAGGTTCCTAGAGGCTACCGCAATACAAATAATAAAGAAACCAGAAGCTGTTATACTACAGGACAAGCCAACCCAGTTGCCTAGGATAAGAATATAATGAAGACTTTTGTAGCTATACCATACTAATAAAGAAAAAATAGCATTCCTAGTGAGACTAAAAACTACATGAAGCTGAAATCTAAGAATTAGGAAGAGTACTTAAGCACATGCTTGAAGACAATGGGTACACCTAAACAGGGATAAAAGACTCCTGGCACGGCTGCGGTTGGCCCAGGTCAGCTGACTTGGGATGCGAGGCTAAAAAGTGCTGTGTAGCCATTCGGATTCAGGCTCGAGCTGGAGTCCGAAGTCTAGGACCTTCCACCCTTGCAGTGTCCCAGAGCTTGGGTTCCAGTGTGAGCCCAAACAGCTACACAGCAATTTTTCAGCCCCGGTGCCTGAGTCAGCTGACCTGGACAGGTTATTTATCCCTGTCTAGACCCAGGGGCTTGACGTTATGCATATGCACAAGAGCTTTCCTGAATATAGGGATGTTTTCCAAAATCAGGCCTAAGAATGTTAATATCATACTGAGAAGTATAAATCTTATGTTGAGATAGATTAGATTGTTCGCACTCACCTTGAAACCTATTACTTAAAGCAATTCTGCAGACAGGAAACTCCATTAAATATACTTTTAGATAGCTTTTGTAAAAGTGAAATCACAAAGTCAATCATATATATGAAATATCTGCGCTACAGTAGATGAAAAATATCAAGTGACTTTAAAAAAACAAAGAAAATCCCAATCCACTGAGATCCATAAAATGAAAACGCTTTTTAATGACAGACCTAAATATAATATCCAGGATACATACAAATATAACAGATAGAAATCCTAGAAAGTAAGTATGCAGGCACATGTTTATTTTTCTGAAGACAGGTTCACCTATTAATATCAGTGATGGGAGTCAATGTGTTGGTGCTATTTCACAGTTAGTGATTCCTTATCTGAGCTTCCTGTCCTTGACGTTGAGGTCCTACACAATTCAGTCTCTCTTCACCTATTTGTATCTTGTGTCACCCCCTCTCTCCCCTCTCCTGTTCCTTATTGCCAGTCTTGATGCTCTGTTTCCTTGCTCCTTCCACAATCCCCCTTGTGCTTCGATGATGCTCCCCCTATACATGGAATATCTTCTCTGCGTGGCAAAGTCACTACCCTCTGAAAATGCAAATGCCTTCTCGAAGACCCATTTCCACTATACAAAAAATTTGCTAGCAAATAATGGCTAGGGGCTGGGGAGTTGGAATTCACTCTTCTAATTAATAAGATAAAACTTAAAAAAAAATCCAAACTCTTGATTGTTGTTTCCCTGTTCTCCACCCTTCCTATTTTTCTCTTGTGTTTGTACAATGAGTGCCCATTGAGGCAACGACTGTCCCTTTACATTTGTTGTAAGAACCTACCGGCATTTGAGGTTCTACTGAAATATAAATAGTTTATCATGTATATTTATTCTTATGTGTCCACTGAAAACAAATCTCTGTTATGCACAAAAACTGGCTATGGCTGAACTTCAAAAGATTCTGAGGTTTTGTTCCAGCTATCTAGGCATTTTTTCCCACACTCATCACCATGGTATCTAGCCTTTTGACATTTGTATGCTTTTAATCCAAACCACTTTTTGTGAAAAATGTCATAATATTCCTCTCTAAAGTATGAGCTTTTTCAGCCTTTTTTTTTAACTTTGTCTTAGATTCTGACAAACTGTACTAGCAGTTACATTGGTAGCAAGCATGTGAATATTGCAGACAAGATGGAAAGCTAAGATAAAGTAGAAATACAATCTGCTATTAATCTTAAAATCTGAAAACTTCATGTAGATTTATGCAAAGCTTTCTGCACTGGCATTATAACCAAAACAAATGAAACACAAAAATGAACTCGCCTGTTGTAGAAATTACTTACTAGGTTTGCATTTAAAGGAGACAAGGAGGTATTTAGTGGTTCCTGGACATAGATCAGGTCCAAAAACCCGACTATTGACAAGGAGTTGGCAGGCTCTCTGGTTCTGGCATTCATCCAGTACTTTCTAGAACAACGGGCAAAAAGGATAGTCTTGAAAACAAGATATGAAGCTATACAGCAACCAAAACTCTTAGCTGTATTTTACTCTATACATGAAAGAAATTATTCAGCGGCACTGGGTTTTTGTCATAGATGCATTTAAAAAAAAAAAGATATATGACAGGAATAAGACCATGTCTGTGCTGGGCTTTGATTAGTGGTTGAAAATCCTGGGTGAGTTCCTTTGAAACACAGTTCAAACTAAGGACTTGATGCAGCAAGGTACTTAAGCACATGATGAACTTTAAGCACATGAGTAGACTCAATAGGGACTACTCGTGTCCTTAGAGATAGGCACATGTTGAAATACCTTCCTCAATCAGGGCCTAAATCCATTTCAGACTTGATTTGGTTAGCCAGTATAGATGTGACCAAGCTACTTTAAAACTATTTTTAAAAAACTCAGACCTTTATCTACATCAATTGGTTTTTCTAATAATATCCCACTATTCCTATTGTGCTGCTCCAGCAAGTAATCAGTAATTGTAAGGGTGAGAGGAGTAGAGTAGAAAGGCTTACAATGTTATAACCATGTTGTCAACTAGACCTGCTCTGAGCAGGGTGAAAGAACATGGTGGTTGGCAGGCCAGAAGCTGTTTACAGTAGCACTTACACTTTGCTACTGCTGCTGGAGCTGGATCTGTATCAGTGGTAGCGATGGTGGGAAATCTTAAGGAAAAAAGGACAGTGTAAACACTGCCAAAGATGGTTTTGAATCCAGTTTTAATACAATTCTGCAATGCCGAATCATGTCTGAAAACAGTTTGGGTTTAAGTTTGGGTGTAACTGTGTTTAAACCAAGTTTAATAGGCAGTTTGTTTAAAACAAACAAAAGGAAGTATTTCTTCACACAACGCACAGGAACTCTTTGCCAGAGGATGTTGTGAAGGCTATGACTATAACAGGGTTCAAAAAAGAACTAGATAAATTCATGGAGGATAGGTTCATTAATGGCTGTTAGCCAGAATGGGCAGGGATGGGGTCCCTAGCCTCTGTTTGCCAGAAGTTGGGAGTGTGCGACAGGGGATGGATCACTTGGATATTATTACCTGTTCTGTTCATTCCCTCTGGGGCACCTGGCATTGGCCACTGTCAGAAGACAGGATACTGGGCTAGATGGACCTTTGGTTTGACCTAGTATGGCCGTTCTTATGTTCTTAAAACTCAGTTTTCAAAACATGGTAAAAAACCCAATGTAGACAGGGATTTTTAAACATTATTTCTGAGTCATCTGTATTATCTCCATGGTTTCTTATGCTTAATAATGCAGCAAATTGTGATATTTGATGACCTAAAGAGAATATACCAATCTTAATCCAGTCCAAGACAGTAGTGACTGAAAAGCATTATTCTCTGATAGCTGTAGGTGCCAATGTAAAAATGCTTTGGCCATTACTGTCCAGTTTCTAGTCAGAAGGAGCTAAATTCATCCCTGACATAGCTCTACCAACTTCAATGGATTTACACCAGGGATGAATTTAAACCAGGTGTTCAAATCACAACAATTGCACTAATTGACACTCTTGTTTCCACTTTCAGAAAAGATGCCAGTAGCTGAACTATCATCATCCTTGGACACAATCCCTCCAGAACAGAAATGATGCACATTGGCAGCATATCGCAATGATCCTATAAAGTTCTGGCCCCTTTTGTTCCTTTTTGTGGCGAAAAAGGACTTAAATCCAACACTTTTCATGAGCATTACATTGCTATTAAATTGTTTAAAGGGGAAGAAAAAGGACTGAGAACTTAGTTTGGTCACTCAATTTTTCTTTTAAAATGTTTCAAGTCAAATGGCACACCTTCATTGGAATTGTTCAGGAAAGACTCAGTTAAACAAAATCAGAAGAAATTTAGCTCTTGAACAAGTGGGCATAACTGACTCCCATTGAGTTCAATGAACATTGCATCTGTTTACACCTGAGCGGAACCATCATCTGTAAATCTCTTTATAGTGGTATCTCTTTATACAAAGAGTGCTCACATTTTGCACTGACTCAGCTGTGCAACAACATCCATCTCCTTATATTATCATAATTAGATAGCATTATTAGTAAGGTTATAAACCTACTAGGACAGATCTAACTTTGCTTTTATCCTTTCACTAGGAGGCTACTGTATAAAATGCCAGCTATTCTTTCTCCTTTCTGTAAGATAATACTATGCTTGATTATGCAGATCTCAGACTGTGTTCCACAGAGAGGGACAGAATGAGATCATCAGCGTTCTTTTCCAAGAATTCCGTTTACAGTATGTGTCTTTTCTATTTGACAGAGTCAGAGCTTTCTGGGATGCAAAGCCAGACACTTAACTTTCATATCTGTAGTTCTGAACAGTGAAAAAGGAAAATATCTGTAAAAATTTATATTATTTTACAATGCAGTTGTCAGCTGAGATGTGTAGTGTACTCAAGAAAAATTGTTCATGGAAACCTCCCAGAGACCTTCAGGACTCAAGAACTCAAATTAATCATGGGTGTCACTCTACTGAAGTCAATGAAATGACACCAAGGATGCATTTGGCCCCACATTTTTTTAGTGGACAGCTGTACTTTCACATGGCCCCAAGGTCATTCATGGAATATCTTTAGATGTTAGTTGTAGTTTGCATGGACAAGCCACGTTTTTAAAACTCTGTGTCACAACACTGTTTTTATAAAAGGATGTTATACTAAATCACTTATTAATACTATTATTAATGGATGGAATGTAGATTCCCTGCTGACATGAAGCAATGGAACTAGGGTGACCAGATGTTCTGATTTTATAGGGACAGTCCCAATTTTTGGGTCTTTTTCTTACCTAGGCTCCTATTACCTCCCACCCCCTGTCCCGATTTTTCACACTTGCTGTCTGGTCACCCTAAATGGAACAGCTGTAAGCACTAAGGCCTTGATTCTGCAAAGTACCCCTGTTCTGTAGAGCTCTTAAACACATCTTTACTTTAAGCATATGTTTAAATCCCATTGAGTTCCCATTGACAATGCTTTGCTGAAGCAGAGCCTAACCGAGGAACTCTAGCCCTTCTTTACTGTGCTGAAACAAGCTCTTGACTATACTCGAAGGGCGGACTTCCTCAACTTATGTAAAGAAATTCCCATGACAGCAAGTAATGAACTGCTGTGTAAGCCATACTCTACTCTGTATGTGAAGCAACTCTTAGGATATTATTGGTAAACCTCAATATTCCTGTCAAATTTATGATAAAGTAGGTTGTTGTGGCCAGAGAGTTTTCTCAGCTTTGCCATGCTGGTGATCCAGGTTCAAGTGCTGTTATCTGACATTCTGGGTGATTAATTTGGCTCAGTATGTTCAGCTGCTGGGGTAAGCCGTGCCTCATGTCATGGGTCCTTGAGACTGATTAAGACTATTCTGACCAGATCGGCTTGGCTAAAAGGATGGGTGTTGAGGGCCTCAAAAATGGGGGGTTAAGTGTGGGAAAATGGGGAGGTTAGTATAGAAGGAACCCTGAAAATCTTTTTCAAGCCTACAGGAATAATAAAACCTATTCACCTGATATCTCTGCTGGTCTAAAGTGTGCCATTTTGTGTTATATACCAGTTGAAACATTGTGGAATTCACTTAACATTGTGAATACTTGGCATTTTCATAGAATATGGGTCACAAAACTGAAATCTGATCTAAAAACATTCTGCTTTTTAAAAATCATCTACAATATGTGATACCTGCAAAGTGGTAGATGCCACACAGTTTAAGGGGTCTTTCATCGCAGTTTCAGGCTGCTGTGTACTACACATTTGGTAATCTTGCCCGTAAAATGCTGATTGGACACTTATTGTTGAATGTCGAGGACACTGCAGGCTCAAACGATCGCCATCACAGGCATACACAGAGTGATTTTGCAGAAGTTTGGTTAGGTAACCTAGAAAATATTTAGCTATGTTACAATTAGTACAGGAAATGATAAACTCTTTAGGTAATATGAAAACCGTGGTCATCTTCTGGAAAGGGCATAAAATCAGGATTGTAAGCATGGCCATACCATATGACACTATGAGCTTATCAGCCTTTACAACCTAGTCAGGATCAGGCCTCAAAAATATCCCAGATGCTACAGGCAATCTTGTTGGTGATCCAGTAGGTGGCACCCTTCCCACTGAGTCAGTACTAAACCAATGCTCCAGTAGGGGGCACTGTGCTGCTGGAGATGCCATTTTTCAGATGAGGCTTGAAGCTAGGTTATGGCAACTTGTGGTCATTAAAGATCCCAAGGCACTTTCTCAAAAGTCCAAGGTGTTATTCCTCAGTTTTCTGATCTATTTCCCCCTGCAGTCTCAATTGGATAAGGTATTCTTTATTTCCTGTCCTAAACTGAGGTGTAATCTTACCGTACTCTTAAATGGTTGCTGTGGGGATTAGGGGTTTGGGTATAGGAAGGTGCTCTGGGCTGGGAGCGAGGGCTTCGGAGGGTGATCAGGGCTGGGGCGTGGGGGAGGACTCCGGCTGGGAGTACGATCTCTGAGGTGGGGCTGGGGATGAGGGGTTCGAGGTGCGGGAGGGGGTCAGAGGCGCAGACTCCAGGCGGCACTTACCTCAGGCTGCTCCCAGAAGCAGTGGCATGTTCCCCATCCGGCTCCTACACATGGGGTAGCCAGGGAGGCTCTGCATGCTGCCCCATCTGCAGGCACCACCCCTGCAGCTCCCATGGTTTCCAGCCAATGGGAACTGCGGAACCAGCGCTTGGGGTGGGGGCAGCGTGCCAAGCCCCCTGGCTGCCCCTACGCGTAGGAGCCGGAGGGGGGACATGCCACTGCTTCCAGGAGCTGCGCGGAGCCACAGCAGGCAGGGAGCCTGCCTTAGCCCTGCTGCGCTGCCCTCCGGACTTTTAATGGCCCAGTCAGCAGTGCTGACCAGAGCCACCAGGGTCCCTTTTCGACTGGGCGTTTCGGTCGAAAATTGGACACCCGGTAACCCTAGTCATAACAGCTGCATTTACCATGTGGTTTCGGGTAATATGCATGACCATGTTCCCTACTGTCTTAAAATGCAACAAATTCCTATATTTTAAACCTTCCACATCACACATTTGAAAGTTAATGCATGTTCAGCACTCATCACCCCTAAGTATTTTTCTTCTCACATTTAAATTTAAACAAAGAAAATGTTATAAAATAAAATTAGGGGAATAATTAAATGAAATGGCCAAGAAATCAGAACCACAGTTGTTGTTGTTTTTTTTAAAAAAGAGTTGTTTGACTAATGCCCCATTTGCTACATTTAAAAATTATCTCTAATTATCTTCTGTTTTAATTATCCAGTCTTAACACACCCTTATGTTGATGTGAATACAACAGTGGTATTTAAAGGAGCACTTGGAAGTTTGCAAGCCTAACATTTGAACTTTTATCTTTATATGGCCATGAAATTCTATATATTTGTTCCCTAAAAAAATCAAAACCTACAACCCCATAGCAACAAAATAGTACATATTCCTGATAAAAACATCTGCAACATTTTTAATAATGAGTGACCGCTTCCAGTGAGTTATTTGTTTTAAACTAGGATAAACAGAATTTTAAAAATCAAACTAAATAAGACAACTGAGTCATTTTAATTCTTCAATACACAATTCAATTCTCTACAAACAACTTTTAAGAAGTTTCAGGGGGAAAACAGGAAATCCCTTACCATGATAACAGTTGAATACTGTATGTTAGTACAGTCTGATATTTCTTTCCACATTTAGATTTTTTGTTTTAAAATTAAGGTTGGTTGTTCATAGATGATGTACAGATTTGGTGAGTTTAGGCCACATCTAGCAGCTAGCCCCACTTTTTATGTTCTGGCCTACTTGGGAAATTTGAGAATGCCAGAATGTAACTGTTACAAAAAACCGACTACAATTCTGAATCTGCACCATTAAAGTTAGTGGGAGCTTTGTCACGGATGTCAGTGAATTTAGGATTAAGCCCTTGTAGAACTCCACTTGCAGCACTAAGTTTGGAATGAGAAGAAGGAAGTTTAATTATCAGCCCATTTTTTCACATGCTTATAAATCTGAAAATAATAACCCTTTGGGTTGAAAATGTTCATTCTTGTTACTAACTCAAAAGCATTTCTTTCTTTCTTTCTTTCTGCAAGTTTGGTAAAATTCAGTTTGGCCATTTTTGAGTTACCAGAGCACAACAAATGGTGGATTTTACACATTAAGAAAGTTACTCAGAAGCTTTCTGTGCTCTTATATCTCAAAAACAGCTTTATTTTAAAAGTTCACATTTGTCATGGCTCTAGATGTCAATAAACACACATGCCTAAGACATGATTAAAGAAGTCTGATTTAGGAATAACCAAATTGTAAGTCTCAACAGAATGTGTTGAACAGGCACAATATATTACTTTGCCACAGTTTCTTTTAGGCATGGCACTGAGGTGTGAAACTGTAGATAAGTGGTTCTCAACTTCTGCATGTTGAGACCTCTCTCCCATTTAGCAACATGAGAAGGGCAGGGTGGTGACGTACCCCAGGTTGAGATCCCCTGCTTTTAATTTACCCACATGTTGTGAGTAGCTATCTGGAACAACACACACTGAAACAATGAGCATAATCATTCTGAGGCCTACCTGCACCGATGCCTTCCCTCTGTCTTTATTCATAGCTCTCCCTGTCCTTAATTTTGTTGATCTGCGTGCAAGGGCTTGTCTACATGGGGAAAGCTATTGCAAAATAAACAAGAGTGTGAATGTAAAGCTCAACAGCTACTCTGTACTAACTGCCCATGTGGACACATTTATTTTGCACTAAGAGTGCCATTTTGCAGTTTAGCTTAATCTACTTCCAAAACAGACTTGGAGGTGGATTAAGCTAAAGTATAAAAAGAAACTTTTAGTGTAAATAAGAGTGGCCGTATAAGCAGCTATTGCAGAATAATTATTCCTCAAAAACTATTCCAGGTGATTTCCCACGTAGACAAGCCCTCAGTTCAAAGATCATGTGCTCCAGGGCTTTGTGCTCCAGCGTGAACTAAAAAGAGCGTGAGGAATTTTAAATTTCCAACATTGAAGCCCAACTGAAAAATCTGTTCAAGTGTCCATAGCTCCTGGAGGCCTCCTCATCTTAGTCTGTGCAGAGAAGAGAGAAGAAAGAGCCCGACTAGACCCGCCCTTCAAGGAAGTGGAAGGAAAGATGACGCACCAGAGAAGATGTAAAGAAGATTCCCCATCCTCTCTGGGAGAACTGATAGAAAAACATCTTCTGCTTCTGGGTCCCCTCCATTCCACAGAAGGAACTGGGGAACAGACTCTCAGGCCTGGTCCATGCCTAAAACTTAGGTCAACCCAGCTATATCACACAGGTCTGTGAAAAATTGCATGCCCTGTGTGATGTAGTTAGGACAATTTAACCCCTGCTTTAGAAGCAGCAAGGACAACAGAATAATTTTTCCATCGCTGTAGTAAATGTCTACATACACTACAGCACTGTACCATTGTAGCACTTGTAGGGTAGACATATCCTTATAAGCCAGACACACAAGCTAGGGCCAGCCCAGCACTAAGACAACTTACTCACACTTCTTTAAGGAGATTAAGCAGAGGGATGGATCTGGATGTGTATCTGCCTGTTAATACAATGAGTCGATTTGGGGAAGAAAGGGTATGTGTAGAAAAAGGATTTATGTGCTTGTGCAGTGAGGTGTGAGAGATTATTGAGAGAGGAGAGAATGAACATAGGGCCAGGAGGGAAAGCACACAGTGCAAGGAATGAGAGGAAGGGGTGGAAAGGAAAGAACCAACAATCAGAGGAAAAATAATACACCATGATATAGTAAAGAAGAGGCAAAAAGTGACTAAAAGGAACAAGAAACAAAAGAGACTTAGTATGGGATTTTATTATTATTATTAAATAGTTTAATGTCAAATTATTACAGTAAATAGACATAACGGCATGATACTATATGCACCTGGCCTGGGGTTTTCAAAGAGCCCTAAAATATTCATAACTCCCCCAGATTTTCAATAGGAGTTCAGTGCTGATCTCCCTTAGGGTCTTTGAAAATCCCAGCCACTGCTACCATCTATCTATCATGTGCCCATTCACTAGAAATACACAAATAGTTCTAGGAGACTGAGGACAGCTAATGAGTCCTTATCTGGTAGATTATCTGTGAGACACACAGAAGATGTTGTTACCTAGACTATCCACTCTCACCAATCTGCTTCTTTTGAAAAACATTCTGAAAAGGTGAGAACACTGAAGCCATGTTGCATTTTCTGTACTCTATATGAGTACATCTGTAACTGTGCCTTAGTGGGTCACAACTGAGAATGCCAAATTCAGGACGAACTGCTGAGAAATAGGGCAGATACAGCCCAAGACTAGTGGCTAATCCCCCATAGGATACACCAAACCAGCCACAAAAGTAAACTTCTGTTTCACCACACTGGCTAACAAGAAGTCATAAAAGCAGTTTTCTTGGGCATTCCAGTTCTTATATCACCACCAAAAACACTGGATTCAGAGATGAGTGGTTCTTTACAACCAGTCTCATCAAATAAAAGGTTTTTCTGATCCAAAAGAATCAGCCACACACCCAGGTCAATATATAACTTAGATCTTATCCAAAAATCATGCTGATGCCAATCCTTTAGTATCTAAAATCTAAAGGTTATTCATAGAAGAAAGAAAGAAAGAAAGATGAGAGTTAAAATTGGTTAAAAGAATCAAATGCATACAATGCTAATAAGCGATGGTCACATAAACACTATACCAGAAACCTAGTGACCGCTATACTTACCTACATGCCTCCAGCTTTCATCCAGACCACATCACACTATCCATTGTCTACAGCCAAGCTCTAAGATACAACCACATTTGCTCCAATCCCTCAGACAGAGACAAACACCTACAAGATCTCTATCAAGCGT